TATTATTATATATATATACACACACACACACACACACATATATATATATATATATATATATATATATACATATATATATATATATGTATGTAAATACTATGCATTGTAAAGATAGTGAGATATCCATATGATATAAATACATATTTATATGTAAAACTATATATGTAAAATACTATGTATGGTTAAAATAGTGAGACATACGTAATATATATACATATACACGTCAAACACTCTGCATAGCCAATGGGCCTAAACACTCACCGCACTGACAAAGACACTGTTGCCCTCGGCCACCTGCGACATGGCAAACGAGATGAACAGTCCCAAGATTACCATCATCACAGCAAACAGCACCGCCACAATCACTCGGATGGACATCAGCCGACGCCACCACTGCACCCGTGCGCAGGCAGACGGTGTGTGTTAGTGAACAGGGCATGCGTTAAAACCCTAAGAACCCTACTTGCGCTAAAACCCTAAGAATCCTCCACGCTGGTGTAGACGGCGATGGTGGTGCAGAGATATGAAGTACGATGCTGGCTGGGGCATAATATGGTTTGGTATGTAAGGCGGGGTGTTAGATACAGCGCAGCCCTGCCAGTATAGACATAGTTGTATAAACATATTAACATAGACCAGCAAGTAACATAATATTCAACACACCAATAACAATGAATCCGTGCAAATACATATACATGTACATATAAATATATATATATATATATATATATATATACATATATATACTATACATACAACTGGAAGTAACCATTCAGTGGTATTAGCAATGTGTAGTAAAAGATGAGTCTGTGCGGAAAAGTATCACCAATGTCGCCATCAGCAGAGCAATCCACGCGATTAACATCTGGCGAAAACGTACAAGACCTAAACGCTTAGATCAAAACGTTTCCGTCAGCAAACGAGAGCGCGCGGATGACTATAGAATCTCCGAGACAAGCGGTGTATTTGACTATAGAAGTGTTTGTTTGTTTGATTGTTTGTGGCACGTAAGGCGTTCAGAAGGTGCAGGCACACATACATGTGCACACAGCTGTAGCATGCATGTATTGAAAGATATGTGAAAAGACGCACATACATGCGCACACGGCTGTGGCATGCATGTATTGCAACTTATGTAAAAAATAAACATACATGTGCACACAGCTGTAGCGTGTATGTATTGAAACTTATGTGAAAAGACACACATACATGTGCACACAGCTGTAGCATGCATGTATAGAGAGTTATGTGCAGATGTTAAAGACACACATACATGAGGACACAGCTGTGGCATGCATGTATAGAAAGTTATGTGCAGATGTTGAAGACACACATACCTGTGCACACAGCTGTAGCATGCATGTATATAAAGTTATGTGCAGATGCTGAAGACACATAGATGTGCACACAGCTGTAGCATGCATGTATATCGCCGCCATGGCGTGTGACAATGGCACTATGGCCTGGGTGGGTGACAGGATGTATCCTGATGAGGTTTGTAGACACCTACCAGTGGATGTACTGCATACTTCTGAGTGCACAACTACGAAACGAAGATGCATGTGTGCACTGGCTATGCATGTGTCCATGATTGTTTATTCGTATCTCCACTCTAGCGCGTACGTATCAATACCCCCGTGAGCACACAGAGACAACCATACAACATGCACCTCATATGTACGGACCAACGCATGCTCATCCACACATGTCTGTGTATGTATGTGCATGCGAACATACCACCACGTCCTTAGTTGTCATGCTGAACATGTGGTCCTCGCTGACCTTTCGCCGCCTCGTCATCCCGACTTTATTCTTCAGCAGTCGCATTAGGGTTTTCTGCGTATGGAGTGCAGCCGAGTTAGTAATGTTAGGACGGCTGAGCAGTCGCACGCGTACCAATGAGTGTGTCTGGAGATGTGGATATGTGTTGTACTTATATGTGGGTGGCGTAGACTGGTGTCTCTGTGTGTGATGACTACGTGATGTCGTTACAGGGACCAGCCTGTGCGCATCAATGGATTATCGGAACACCATATTACAATCTAGAATATCATAACTAGCGAAATCGATTAATATATATATAAATATATAAATATATATATATAAACATTTATATATATATGTGTATACACACACACACACACATCTGTATA